AAATTTTTCAAGATGGCCAAACTTCTTCGCTAGCCAAGTACCATGCCTTGCAATATGCAATGTTCTTTCCGAATGCTGTCTTGATTTTGAGTATTGGGTGTTATCTATGGGCTACTTTTTACATTGTTGATGACCATCATCGGGCTAAAGTAGAGATGCACGGTGAATTTTGTCTTTTTTTAACCTTTTTGTTCCAACTCGTCGCTAAGTTCAACGGAGTCTTTTTCATCTGTAACAGTGTTTTCTTATTAAGCGATGTTTGTTTTCAGTGGACGATGAATGGGCTAGTGATGTTGAGACGTTAGTAACTAATGTCCAACCTATCCAAGGCGAAGGAATAAGCAACTTATTATACGAGTGATAAGATGCTTTATCACTGAAACGTTTGCAATTAACATATTCGTATGATTCCTGTGAGTATACGCTTTGAATGTTTTTTTTGTATAGGAATCTTACAGCTTCGTGTTTCACGCAAAAAATATGGCTCCAATTTATGTCCAACTAGCTTTTAGAAAAATAGCTTTTAACTCCCAACTTTGAATGGGAGTTAAAAGCTATTTTTCAACAAAAAACACAACTTACCGAGGTATCATTCATCCTACATAGAAGCTTTGGCGGTTGTCTTGGTTTGTGGTCCGGAATTACATTTCAGGACAGGCCACGTCTCACGATTCGTCACTGACGTGAAAGGGAGGAGAAGGTTTATCGACAGCTCCTCACTAAGGACGAAAACTCCTCTAGGCGTGAGGGGAATAGATTTCCCCGGATCTTCCCCCTCAGCTTCTACAAAAATAATCACTCCCCAGTATTCATTGCCGTCCGACAAAACCGGAGTAATGATGTGAAGGAGTCTGGGGACACATTTCGTTTTTAGCGGCATGTCGTGAGCCCTCGCGCGAAGTCGGTCCACCCTAACATGTAGTACAACCTTTGACGAACTTGACTAAGGACCTGTACTGAATTAGCGTCAAGAACTTTGCTTTATCATATCGACTTTTTCTTACTGAATGTATTTTTCTTTATACGTATAATTTATTTTGGATTTATTATTGTTATATTTATATTTTTTTACTTGTCCGTACCTGAACGCGGGCCTACCTGGGCTGTTCATTTTATTCTGCTGCTTAGCTAATGTTATGTTTGTTGTTATTTCATTTACCTGGTGAATTGATTTATTCTTTGCAGATTTCTGTGTGGGATAAGGAAATGCCTTCAACCTTCCATGACCGATGAGTCCGTTGACTTGCCAACGGGTGGCAATAATTTTGCAGCTGTGTAACTGCTTTCATTGTTCATTTTCCTATACATATTGCTATTATTGTAAAGTTAGTACGTTGCTATTCAAAATACCAGAATAGTACCCAAATAGAAGGCTCGCTCACTCATTATCCATTGTACAGCACGTACTAGTCCGTACGTTATTTCATGGGAATGTGATATTTACAAGTGATAGAGGTATTTCTTTCACAGAAAGTTTTACCTTCTGAGTGATCCTTTCATTTTTGTGGGAAACCCTATGGCATCGTTTTACCTCACCCTTGAATATTTTGGATTTATTCTGTGTACAGATAATCCTTCGCATCTATGGTATTAAGAATGAAAACCGAAGTGATTCTAATAAAAATAATTGGATTTTGAGCTTATTTCCGCTGTTGTTATGAACGAGGTGTTAATTTCACACATATTTTATTGTGAACAAAATCTACAGATGGTTTCCATTGAGTACTTATCTTCAGGCAGGTGCATGCAGAGCCGGCACTCGCAGTCGGTTCCCACTTCTAACCAGGAACATGGTAATGATTTTCTCTCTCTTCTTGAGCCATGTGAAAAGACAATCGTAATATGCCGCGTTGGGCGTAGCGAGCAACGAGACGAGTTCTGCCCTGCCGTTTGGATCTAACAAGAGTTACGCTATTCTAGTTGACAAACTGATGCACATTGAGAAGTGCCACGCATTGCCGCGACGTACTTCGCTAGCGCGCGTAACGGCAGTGAGACTGCTCTTGTTACCCGTTCTTCCTTTTTTGGGGCTATTTTAGAAAGTGGCGGACGTGGCGGGTTTGGGGTAGAGCACTCAAGATAGTTGAACCCCCTACTTTTTAGGAAAGAAGTGGGTTCATTCACGTCGTAGCCCTTTCTGACCTAGATCCGGACGAATTCTTCCGAGAGACGAGAGTATTTTGTTCGTGTCTTCAAGGATTGAATTTCCCCACCTTACTGGATACGCTAATCTTTGAGAGTGCCTTCAACCCTTTTTCCGATTACCAACCTAATTATTCATAAACTGCTGTCGCGAAGGTTTTATGAACTCTTGCTTTTTCTCTTTCAAATTAATTTTTTTTGTCTTGTTAAGACTGCTATGATTCGGAACTGCATCTGGAGAAGGTTCTGACGCATCTGTCATTCATTCGAATTAACATCGATAGTATATTACTCCCAGAATCAAACACATTCATTGAACGACTGTATAATGAAGGATCACTCTATGGGTGAGAATTAGATGTTTGAGCGAAATTTCAAGATGTATTTATAACTCACTTTTTCCTGAGTTTAGGTTCAACCTAGAATATCAATTTCCTTGCCTCTGAAAATATTCGGCCGATCTACTAAAAGCTCCAGTTCGAATACCAGCCAAGAGTTTCACTATGACTAACATACAGTTCCGTCATAGAAGAGTCGTGCTTCTGCAAATGAATCCTGAAATAATTCCTTTTTGGAATCGGCACCACCTTGTCTTACGTCTACATGTTCAGCTTAACACCCGCGGAAAGTTTTCGGTGAGTCACTTTCACTTTCTTGATGAACTTTTCGGCCGCATCCCAACTGGGCATTATTCTACTATTGTGTATCCAAAAACTCCAAATTTTTGCTGGAACTCCGCCCATAAAGTCTCCTACTCATGAATATGATATCCATTGCGCTCGCACCGAATGGTGCCACTACTTTTTTCAACAAGGTCGCTGTAGACCTGTCTTTGGGAGTAATCGAGGTCTTGATAACGCATGCAATGTTCATTTTTAGCGCTGGCGCCCTGCCTTTCCACCAAAACTTGTATAAATTCACACACTAGATTATTTTGCATCCTAATGACGAATATTACACTCTTCTCATGCTGATATATGGCGTTCTGATCATCTGCACTCTGTTAACGCTGAGCCTAGCTGGAAGGGATTCACCTCTCCTCCATGCCCAACCTTTCAGGAGCACTAAATTGCGCTGCGTCGTGATTGAAAATGAAATACCATAATCGTGATCAGGATATCAAACAACCTACTCTGCATGTTTTATCGATGTTGGTGGAGAAGGTGGTGGCGCCATATAACGTCATTGCCAAAAACGGATATCGTATTCGTGTTCAGAGCACTGAATAACCTTTATAGACCGAGATTCAGCGGAAAAAATCTTGGGCTTTAGGCGTCACATCAGTGGAACAGCGGCTCCACTCATTAACACGTTGACGACGAGCCGTTTTCTTTATGAATAGCCCGTGGGACGGCACGTTTTTTTTCGTAGAAACTTAGTAATTTTTGGATAAATGAATGGCTGTCGGTCAAAAGTATTTCAAGAAATGCAAGATACGACTATACGAATCTCGAATCTTTAACACAGTTCAGCTTTTATTGCTCCAATCTTCCGAAACCAGCCATTTTTCACCAACTCTTCCTCTTTGCGAAACAGATTTTCTGTAAAATTTGTCTTGGCGGGGTAGTTTGACCTTTCAAAGATCACTTATTAGCATTATCTTATGCCCAAAATATGTTGTTATGCGCTACTAATCTTTATTGAAAGACAAGGAAACAATTCATTAGCAGACTTTGACTTTATATAATAACTGGTCTGACCTCAATGGGTGGTGCCGTCCCCACAAGAAAAACAAATAAAAAAAAAAAAGGGGGTGGCTTATCGTCCAGCATTTGAATTCGTCGTCAATGCATCAAGTGGATATGGTATTCTTGTTTAAGGGATCGAACTACCCCTAGGGACAAATTTTCAGCTAATTTAGTGATCTATGGCATTTTGGCGCCAGCGCCAGTGGCGCGGGCGCCAGGAGTCTCGCTGGTAGCGAGTGATATTTTTCGTGCTTCACGGCGTCGAACTTACCTCACGAGCGAAAACAGTTTTTCAACCAATTTTGGCTGATTTACTGTATTTCCGGCGCCGGCGCCCTGTGGCACGTGCCGCCAGCCCGTAGATTCGTGCGAGCAGCTGCTCGGTATTCATTTCAGAGGGACAAGCTACCCCCCCCCCCCCCCAGGGACACGTTCACGACAAACTTGGCTGTTCGTCCATCTTTATTCTTAGAAAATATACTGGCAGACACCATTGTCTGCCATCGTCCCATGAGACAGACTGGCTGTCAGCCACCATTGTCTGCCATCGTCGTCAACGTGTTAAAGCATTGCACTAAATCATGTAGATGAAGTTCCACCTTATTATTTTGGGATGGCTAGTGCCGACTTCTCGGACGATAACATTCGTCCGGATTCAAAATTGACAATATTTTTGAAGATCTCTTTTTTTAGACACGATTGCTCGGTCATTGTGTTGTTCCACTTGCTGAGCTTCTCATTCCACCATTCATGATCTGTCGAGATTTTAATTTTATCCCCACCAAAGGCATGACATTCGAGGGCACTTCGCTGGTAAATGTTCCTCGATTTTGTAAAAACTTCGGTTTTTTTTGGATTTTATGTGCTTATTGCTATTTTTGTCAGCTTGCTTACAGATACGCATCGATTTGGGAAGTCGTGAAAAGAAGTTGAGCGAAAAATTGAGTGAACTTAGAGCAATCCCATATTGGAGTCATGTATGTGCGTTGACGCGTGTCAGGTAGCGAATCCTATTGCATTTCTTATTTATCTACTCTTCCTCCTTTCTATTCTTCTAGACGTATTTAAGCCCAACCCTCTCATAAACCGAACATTAGCCTAAGTTAAAGCGCTCGCGGAATGTCCAGACGAAGATGCAACTTTTCGTCTTCTACTTGTTTACCTTTTCTTTGCTTTATTTTTTTGCCATTCGCGACAATGAAGTTAGGCACGTATCTTGTCGCAGTTGCTGTTGTTCCTACTGTAGAAAGAAGAAGGACTGCAAACTCGGCGCCATTCTTGTGTTAATGCCACCGTCTATGGGCGCGTCATAATGCCTACATGTGCGGCTTAGGAAATGAGGTTTGGCTTCGGGGGCCGGGGGCGGAGGGAGAGCGAGGCATTTCGCACCTTCACTTCTTACCATCGTCATGTCGAGTCATCAAGAGCGATTTTTGAAATTCGCTTGCGAAGCCAATAAACAGTCAAAAGTTTTTGTGCAATGGAAACTACTTCTATACTCTTTGTGAGGAATACCTGCCACGTCTTGTAAATAATGGAAAACGGATATAAACAGCAGAAGCAGAGAGCGTTGTATGTGTTCCTTCACCCCCCCCCCCGCAGTCGAACAGCGCCAACGAGTTATATGCCAGCTATTGATCATATTTTAATTAATTCGTTCTTAGCACCGAACGTGATCCTGGAGAGCGTAATCGTCCAAGGGGCGCTTCGCTAGATCGTGCTCTGTATCCGGCCAATGAAAACAGACCGCCTCCTCGTGATGTGCCTATTCGTGAGTGCTGGATATCCTTTTTGCTAAAATCGCTTTCGGAGACAACTCATATGTTCAGAGCCTCCCGTTGCTAATTACGCTAGAGGTGACAGACATCCACAGCGCAGTCTTGCTCCGCGTACGCCTTTGAATATTCTTTACATGCCATAGCTTTTTAAACTATTCTCTTTCAGAGTACGTTCCAAAGCCGGGCCCAGTGCCATTTCGTGAAAGAGTTCCTTCGAATCTCACTGACTTATCTGACTCGGTATTCGAAGAGCAGTGCGTTCGTTGTGGGGTCCCTCGCCCAGCGAGTTCGGGCTCTGACCCTAGGCGTGCATACGCTTTGGATTCTCGTCGCGAATTTCGCCCAGCAGCTTTTTATTTACGCTCTAGCACATCCTCAAGCTCGTCAAAGAAAGAGAGAACGAAGAAAGTCCTCAAAGCAAATGCCTCATTCAACTCACTGTTCATGAAGCTCGCGGACTTCCACCTGTACGGGATGAAAGGTGCTGTTGCTGTAGTGGTAATTCTAATTTATGTAATGAAATAACGTAATCGAGTTGCTTGCAGAAATCGTGTTGTTTCTCCGAACGCATATGTTTCCGTACTGGGGAGAGACGGTGAACTTCGTTCATCGATTTGTGAACGTTCTCGCCGTCCTTTATGGAATTGGACGGCGCGATTTTACATTTGTGGAGAAAGACGAAACATAATCGTGAAAATACTTCATCATGATATCAGTGGCGATATGGTGAGCGAAAAGTAATTGTGTAGGAGTTACACTCTTGTTCGCTGCGGATAAAGGGGCGTCAAACGGGATGGATTTGGTGCCGCGCCAGACGCGTTTCCCTCCAGTTGTTGAAGCGAGCAAGCAACAGGATGGTATAATCTCATCCGCATCCAGATCGTTTTTCTTTGATTGTAGTCGCTTACCCGCCTCAACAACTGATGGGAAACAAGTCTGGCGTCGCGCCAATCCCGTCTCCCGGCGCGCACCTTCATCCGCAGCGCAACACTATATCTGAATTGATAATTTTGTGTTTTTTTCGATCCAGTGGTCAGTTGACGCATCAGCGCATTCTAAGGTATGTTTTGTGGTGAGAGTGACTGTACTTTGCTGAAGGGAGCTTTGGCTGGGTGAAAGTGTTGCATTTTTTCTATAGTGCTCCATTAAAGGGTTGTTTATGCCTTCTACTTATTACCGTAATGCTGTGCCCCCTCTACCTCGCTGACTTTTAACAGTGTAGTGGCGTGAACTAGTGCTTAGGCTCCGTTCATGTTTCGCGACTCGGAGGAGGACCTTTAGTCTTAGTACCTTAGTGCGACTGCAACAGACCCTACCGGCAACCGTTGAACCGCTGCAACGGTTTAGAGAAGTTCTTTTCTGAACCTGGTTGACGGCAGCGGTCCCACGATTACGGCGACGTCAGTTGCTCTTTGAAGAACTCGAATTGCCAAGTGTGAACGCGGCTTGACACAGTATTTGGGGTGGCTTTTTGTACCAAGTTTCGTTTCCCACTGTGCTTCAGACACTTGGTTTTGTTCGGCTAACCCACTGCCAATTGAAGAAGCGCATCGTGTTGATTACGAGATGGTGGATTTGACTGGAACAGCGAGCCTAAATAACGAGGTTCCTATAATAACTGTAGGTTTTAAGATCAAACATCGGTTTCTGAAAACTTTCTATCTTTCAAGATACTCTGTATGATTACCTGCGCAATAGATCCTTGTCGTTGCGAGGTAAGTAGGCCAATAACTGTAGAACCGCTGTGTACCACTTATTAAAAGGGGGCAGAAATTAAGTGGGGGGGGGGGTTGTGGTA